GAACAGTTGGCATTTACTTAATTTTAGATACTTAATGAAAACAAAAGAGGTTATTCTTGTCATTTTCTTCCCAAAAGGTGAATGGAAAGCTCTCCTTTTTGGTGTGGTAATAATAACCACAAACACCAGAAGAGTCACAATAGGAATAGCTGAGGGGCTGGCAAGATGGCTCAGTGAGTAAGAGTGTTTTCCAGGTGCACGCCTTTAATCCCAGCACTCGGGAGGCAGAGGCAGGTGGATCTCTGTGAGTTCGAGGATAGGCTCCAAAGCTACACAGAGAAAATCCTGTCTTGAAAAACCAAAAAAAAAAAAAAAAAAAAAAAACAAAAAAAGAGAGAGTGTTTTCCATGTGCAATGTTTGAATTTGTAAGACTGTGGGACTTTTTTAAGTCTGTAAAAATGTTTTATATTGTGATGTTTATACTAAAGAATGATCTTGGGGATGAACAAGAAAGGAAAGGTTGTGGCTTTACAGTGATGTTTGTGTGTCAAGCTGACAAGGTGTAAATTGTGCTGGATAGTTTTATGTCAACTTGATGTAAGTTAAAGTCATATGAGAGGAGGGAACCTCAATTAAGAAAATCCCTTCATAAGATCGGGCTGTAGGACATTTTCCTAATTAGTGATTGATGGGGAAGACCCAGACAGTTGTGGGTGGTACCATCCCTGGGCTGGTGTTCCCAGGTTCTATAAGAAAGCAGGCTGAGCATCTATGGGGAGCAATCTAGTAAGCAGCGTCCCTCCATGGCCTCTGCATCAGTTCCTGCCTCCAGGTTCCTGCCCTGTTTGAGTTCCTGTCCTGACTTCTTTCAGTGATGAACAGTGATGCAAAAATGTAAACCAAATAAACCCTTTCCTCCCCAAGATGCTTTGGTCATGGTGTTTCATTACAACAATAGTAGCCCTAACTAGGTCACCATGTAAACCTGATGCTCTAAATTTGATCCTAGAGCCCACATAAAGGTAGAACGAGAGAATTGACTCCACAAAATTTGTCCTCCTCTGTCCTGCACATATATACACATCATGGACATACTACATACAGTAGTAATAAAAACAAACAACTTCTATTTACAGAGTAGGGTCTGTAAGAGAGATTCTGCAAGTTATGTTGTGTGGTCCTTAAGAGACTGCTGTCACTAGCCATTTTATAGATAAGGATGTAGAGGCTCATGAGAGACCCACAGGAAGAAAGGGGGTAGCCTGTTGCATTCCAAGTCTTGCTGTAGGTCTTGAGCCCCAGCCAGAGGTGGAGATGCCAGTGGCCTCAGGAGGGCTGCGTATGACCAGACTGTCCCATCCCGTCCTAGCAGGGGCTGTAATCTTTGCTTCACACGGGCGTCATGTCATCAGCACCAAGTCTAATGACACACTGCAGCCCGGGAAATTACAGTGCCCAGGAGACTTGTCCCAGAGGGCCTGCCCAGAGTAATTCCAGAGTGAGGATGAATGCTGGGAAATAAGGGCTGGGGCAGGCTGCTGGCCTTAGGTAA